CGAGTAGCAAATAAAAGATTCCATCTACTTCCTAACAAACTCTATTACATTGGTTGGTACATTGCTAAAATTGTGGGCTATACTAGATCTATCTGGCTATCAGCTAATCTAACAATAATCAATATTAGTGGACTGAATGAGAACTCCAGCGTTTCCTCACAACACACTACCTGTCCAATAACACATACTAAGTATCTACACAGAAAGGTGAATATATATCTCCTTTTTAACACCACAAGTACAACTATGATGGATATTAATATAACTCTTTTAGTACAGTGGAATACGCAATGTCTCATTGGTGTTTCTGTTCCTTCTTGTATAGGAGCAATAGTAGTGATGGTAGCTGTCCCTGTTTGGTTCTATTACTGTATGATAAGAACTGTTGCTAGGAACGGATACAGTACAATAGCTTAAAATTATTATTTTTGTTCAAATTGTTGCTGCTTTTTTAACTTTTGTATTTTAAAAATAAATTTTTAAAAATGAAATTCTAAAAAATAATTATTTATGCTATAGGTCTAAGTTTATATCTATAGTTCTAAAGTCACTACATATTATAAGTATCAGCTTATAGTTTATTGCAGTTTGTTAATGACTACTTTAACATTTGATTATACGACTGTTGCCATATTCGGCAACATAAATATATTCATCCTTATCCAGTGCTACACCATCTTTTTAGCAAATGGAATTGATTTGATGACATGTTTCCTGTCAGGACTCAATACATGAAGGTAGCCATTGTTACTTGATACAAAGATACATCCTTCGTCATCAATAGCAATACCTTGAGGGGAATTAAAGTTATGATTGTATGCATCAAGTTGGCTTTTACCATCAGGAGAAAAAACTTGAACATGATTTTGATTGCTAATGGTAACGTGTATCTTTCCTTCATTATCAACTGCTACATCAGTTGCTTTACCATCACATTGTATGACTTGTACAAATGTACCATCTTCTTTAAACACTTGTACTCTTTTATTGTTGTATTCTGCTACTAATATATTACTTTTACCATCAGTAGATATACCACGAGGAGTATAGAATTGTCCATTTCCATTGCCTTCACTACCAAACTGACTAATATACTGACCAGTAGTAGCTGAAAAATACTGCACACGATTAAAATTATTATCAGACACATAGAGCCTGTCTCCTACCAACAATAAACCCCAAGGATAGTCAAACTGTCCATTACCACTACCTTTAGATCCAATCCTTCTTACTGCAGTACCATCCTCACTAAATACCTGAACAAACCCATCCTTACTATTAGCAAATACTTCACCATTAGTATGAACAGCAACACTATCGGTACGATTTCCCAAATCAAAGGATCTCTCGTTAGTTAGTGTGGTATAGTCTCTTGATGCTTTTACTGACAGTTGATAAGGACTACCTTTAATATGCTGACCTCTTATAGTCACTGATAGTTCATATCCACCAATACTTTGAGGTGTGCATGATACAATGGCTGTGTTGGTATCATTAACTATAACAACTCTACCCTCCTCTTTACTTCCATCACTTTTGATAAAGGAAGTCTTCAAATAGCTTGCTGCTTTACCAATGCCTGCTGGTAAAGCCACTTTGAATTTCCTTTCTTTCTTTACTGTTGCCAATGGAATAGCTAACCCACTATCAATGGAATAAAGATCTGGATCAACTTCAAAAACACTGCCATATTTATGAATTTCATTGCTCATGACAGTGGTATCAAAACGTGTCACAATTGCTTCATTTTCATTTATTTCTAGAGGAAGTTTCTTGTACTCTTCAATGCATTCCTCTAGTTGATTGGTGATTAGCTTCTCAACACTAAGAACTTCACATGGATCAGTACGCTCACTTACTGATGATGCAAGATGACGACCATGAGAAACCTGTTTTACCAGTTTATGAAACCTGTCCAACTGCTTCTTGACAGAATTCCTGTTAGCGCTAGCAATCTCTTCTGTCTCCATTAGTAGATCATTGCATCTCTTATCTAAAGCAGCTTTAAGCTCTTCAAACGTTTCCTTGATTTCCTGCCTTACTTCTTCTTTACATGTTGCTATCTGCTCTAGCATCTTCTCTCCATTAGCAATAGCTTCGGTGACTGGAGAAATGACTCCATCACAACTAGCAACACTTTCCTTTAATGCTTTACGTGCTGTTTTTCCTTCATCAAGGTAATCATTGTAATTGTGACTTTTATGCTTATCGTTAAGACAAATTTGACAAATCAATTTATTGCAATCCTTGCAATAGTATGTCAGCTTTTCTGAATGCTGAATGCAAAAAACAGCCTGTTGCTTCATATTTGGCAATTCTGTGCTTAATTGATGGACACTCTCCTTTCCAATGTTAACCAGTTTGTGTTGACTCGTGCTCTTTATTCTTTTATGTGCTGTCTTGCAGAAATCGCATAGAAACAGCCAACACTCACAGCAAAACGTGACAGCAGTATCCTCACTGCATTGCTCACATAATGTGCTTTCTTTCTTGCTCATTTTATCTTTAACGGATGCTTCCTTAACTTGCTGAGCTAGCCAAAGGTTTTGAGTGAGGCCTTCAATTTTACCATCAGGTAAATTAACGCTAGTGTCACACGTTGGACACTTTAATGAGATATCAGCACTACCTTGCTTCTCTTTAGCTTTTATTAGACACTTCTTACAGAATGAGTGAAGACAGGGAAGCATGAGGGGGTCAGTATAATACTCTGAACAAACCTCACAAGTCATAGTGATAGCTGGACTTGTGGTTTCTGCCATTGTTACCTATAAGAAAGTAAATAATCTTCTTGTAGCTGATAATATTTAACTTACTTAAGCTGTAATTGCTGTTGCTTCAAATGTAACTTTGTTTGTACTGTTGTCTATGAGCCCCGCCCTTGTTTGTGTGACATTTGTTGCCAACACCCCCGCAATATCATAGATAATAGAGTAAATGAAATTTTAATTTTAATTTGCCTTGATCCGCCCACAAGTCACACATGGTGTCCAATGGTGATGCTGGTTTCAAGGTCTCAGTGGAATCACTCCATACTACAAGAGTCAAGGAGATCAACTATGATGGAGAAGAGATATATGAAGGGTAACAGTCATTTATTATAATAATACATGATGTAATTAATTGAGTAGATGACATTTCATTATTTTCTTGACTCTTGAGTTCGCTTGAGGTTTTAATTTTAATTGGGAATTCTAAATTAAAGTGACATAAGTTAATAACATAAAATCACTTATAGCATATAAAATGATGCTGTTATATATACGTTGTACACTAAAATTGTTACATGGCACGTATTTATTTGTAGGAGACCTCTCTCTCAGAAACTAAGTGAATTAGCTCAACATGTTGACTTTAGAGAAGAGAGAGCTGATGATGATAATGACAGAGAAGAAGGAAAGAAGAAACAAGAGGAGGAGGAGGAGGGAGTTTCTGGTCCTACAACTAAGAAACCAAGTCATCACTAGCCATGGGAATTCACACACTCAAAACTCAAGTACATAAATACATGTATTTGTATAAACAAGAGTATAAATCATGCATCAATGTATAGACCAGTTGGCGCTAAGTATATTCATAGAACTTTGAGTATATTCATTGTGATACCGTAAATAAAGCAAAATTTTCCTGCCGTCATTTCGGAGTCTTATTTACTAAGAGTAGAATGGGAGAAAGTAATATCTTTGCTTCTATATCTTTTAGTGGCACTTATTAAACTCCATGAGCCAACTCTAGACACTGGATGATGGTCAGTAAGCAGTAGCAATATTGTTGTAACGAATAAATACAGCAGTTTTTGGAGACTAAGCTCTTTTCACGATCGCTCCATAGACAACCATTGGAAGTAGGACTCCAAAATGGCGGTAGGAAAATTTTACTTTATTTACGGTATCACAATGAATATACTCAAAATTCTATGAATATATTTAAAATTCTATGAATATATTTAGCGCCAACTGGTCTATTGCATACATAAAGGATAGTTAAACTTTATTATTAGTTTTGTCTTTATTGCAAGCAAGCATTGACTGAAGTTAGTGTACTGTCTGATGTGTTACAACATAATCATCATCAATACTTGTCACTGGATCCAGTTTATGTTAATAACAAATACACATTACCTCCTTCATATTAATACCAAATTAAAAAGAAGGTTAGCCTCATGATTTGTTACTTTACTCAGTTATGCATGCACAATACATGTACCTCAATATAGAAGATTATAAAGGCAAAGTCACAGATCAATAGCAGTTCTTTTAGTCAGCTTTGTCCCTATTAGATTGATATTTAATGATTGTGAACCCATTGTGTATGTACATGTACATTTGATATTATCATGAATTTTTTAGGCACTTGATATAGCCTCCAAGATATTGAGAAAAGTACCTGAGCCACTCAAGAGATTATCCGGTCAAACTGATCACAAGTTTTACAGAGCATTATATGATTTAAGGAGAAGATGGATACTATGTAGAACAGCTAATTAAGTCAGTGGAGACCTCAGCTCTAGATCAGGTAACTTAATTGTAATGAAGTATAACACACACACAGTATAACAGTAATGGGTTCTATAGTATGAAGGGACTTTAAAAATTTTGTAAAAATTCTAATTTTTATTGAAATCAGCTCAAAATTGCTATGCAACATGAGAACTTGTATATGCATCAGGAAAAATTATAAAAGTGGAAAATTCTCACCCTTTCATTTTTGGCAAAATTTGGCCAATGACCCTGTGCTATTATAGTACAGGGTTTTTGGCTTGATTTCTGAGTAATTTTAAAATTCATATAAAGTCCAATTTTGTTTGAAATTAGCTCAAACTCGCTACAGAACATAAGAACTTGTATATGTATCAGAAAAATTATAATAATGAAGGATTCTCTCCTAGTCATTTTTGATGAATCATTACTGTCATTATTTATTGCAGCTGGTTCACTGTATGCTCAGTCAGTTCAGTTTGAGGTTCATAAAGGAATTGAAGGCACTAATGATATACTGTCAGTAGTGGTACCTCAAGAATTAAGAGGAAGGAGTGAAGTAGTTATATTCCTAGCAGACAGACCTATTAAAGGTAATGGTATGTCACATGACTATCACATGATTGTACATGTCATCTATGTGTACAGGTTGATGTGGTTTTTGTTCCAGAGGTTGTTTCTCTTGATTCTTTGTTGCCGTCTTGTTTCATTGAGCTTCATAAGCAACAGTTGATGTTAACTCCATGGGAGCAGATACTTAAATCAGCTCATAATGTGCTCTTCAATGAAGAAATGTTTGCTCAGGTATAATATTGTACTATAATAATTAATGTATTTGTATTAATTTGGTTTAGATTATACAATCATTTGTGATGAGGAACTTGTATTATATAATGTGAAACTGCACAAGAGGAAAGGTTAGAGAGATGTAACGAGATTACTAGAATATACAAAGTTTTACTAGGTCATGACGAGTGGGTGGGTCATTGAACTAAGAAAAACTACTCTTGTGTAGGTGGGTATGGTTGTGGGTAAAGTCAAACATGACGTACATTGAATAGGTTAATATGGGAGGAGTACCAGCAACACTGGTTAATATTGTGTCAAGACGTCAGCCATTAGCAGTTGCATTTTACATGATTATTTAGAAACAACTAGTTTAAATTCAAAGAGAGAGTTTATTATCAGGTACTGACTGACTCACCTATTGATCTAACTATGATGTACCGGTATAAAACATATGTATAATGTGTTATGGAGTTATTGGCATATACTAGTATAATAATAATAATAATGACATTTTGCACTTTTATTTTTATAAAAATAATAACTGTCTGAGAGATAGATAGTGTGTTCAAGAGAGAGAAGGGAAAGGAGAGGCATTTTTATTATTGAATAACTACTTGAATATTTTCATTATACGATTCTTGTTAGCAGCATAAATACACCCATCCTTATCCAGTGCTATACCATATGGATTATTTAATCCTGAGATTAATTCGACTTCTTTCCCATCAGGACTCAATGCATAAACACAAGAATTACTACCATTGTAAGTCAATACTAAGATATTTCCATCATCATCAATAGCAATACCTTGAAGATAACTAGAGACACTATGAGGATTATTGTATGTATGAAGATGAGTTTTACCATCAGGAGAGAAGACTTTAACATGGTTATCATTGTGAGTAGCAATATATATCTTTCCTTCATTATCAACAGCTACATCACATGCAGTACTCTGACATTGTATGACTTGTACAAATGTACCATCTTCTTTAAACACTTGTACTCTATTGTTGCTGTTATCAGCTACTAATATATTACCTTTACCATCAGTAGAGATACCACAAGGATTAGAGAATTGTCCATTTCCATTACCTTTACTACCAAACTGACCAATATACTGACCAGTAGTAGCTGAGAATTACTGCACACAATGTAGAGTATTATCAGACACATAGAGCCTGTCTCCTACCAGCAATAAACCCCAAGGACATCCAAACTGTCCATTACCATTACCTTTAGAGCCAATCCTTCTTACTGCAATACCATCCTCACGAAATACCTGAACAAACCCACCATAGCGATTACCAGCAAATACTTCACCATTAGTATGAACAGCAACACCAGTAGTATAATTCCCCACGTTAAAGTATCTCTGGTTAGTTAGTGTGGTATAGTCTCTTGATGCTTTTACTGACAGTTGATAAGGACTACCTTTAATATGGTGACCTGACTGACCTCTTACAGTCACTGATAGCTTATATTGACCAATACTTTGAGGTGTGCATGATACAATGGCTGTAGTGTTATCATTAACTATAACTCTACCCTCCTCTTTACTACCATCACTTTTGATAAAGAAAGCCTTCAAATAGCTTGCTGCTTTATCAATGCCTGCTGGTAGAGCCTTTAAATTTCCTTTCTTTCTTTACTGTTGCCAATGGAATAGCTAACCCACTATCAATGGAATAAAGTGATGGGTCAAGCTGCTCAAGTTTGAAAATGTATCCAAACTCACTGATTTTTTCATTTAAAGTAGATGTATCTAGATTTGTCACAATTGCTTCGTTTTCTTCTACTTCTAGAGGTAGTTTCTTATACTCTTCAATGCATTCCTTTAGTTGATTAATAAACAAGAGGAGGAGGAGGGGGGTATTTCTGGTCCTACAACTAAGAAACCAAGTCATCGCTGGCCATGGGAACTCAAGAGCATAAATACATGAATTTGTATAAACAAGAGTATCAGTATCAATGTATTGCATGCATAAAGGATAGTTAAACTTTATTATTAGTTTTGTCTTTATTGCAGGCAAGCATTGACTGAAGTTAGTGTACTGTCTGATGTGTTACAAATTGTTCATAATCATCATCAATACTTGTCACTGGATCCAGTTTATGTTAATAAGAAATACACATTACCTCCTTCATATCAATACCAAATTAAAAGAAGGTTAGCCTCATGATTTGTTACTTTATACAGTTATGCATGCACAATACATGTACTTTAATATAGAAGATTATAAGGCATAATATTGGCAATAGTATACATTTACATGTACTATTTCTTTACCTGTATTGTATTTATTATGAATAGCAGTTTTGTCCCCATTAAATTGATAGTTAATCATTGTGTATGTACATGTACATGTACATGTATGTTGATATTATCATGAGTTTTTTAGGCACTTGATGTAGCTTCCAAGATATTAAGAAAAGGAGCTGAGCCACTCAAGAGATTATCCAGTCAAACTGATCACTAGTTTTACAGAGCATTATATGATTTAAGAAGAAGATGGATACTACGTAGAACAGCTAATGGAGTCAGTGGAGACCTCAGCTATAGATCAGGTAACTTAATTGGAATGAAGTATAACACACACACTGTATAACAGTAATGGGTACTATAGTATGAAGCAACTTTAAAAATTTGTAAAAAATCTAATTTTGATTGGAATGAAGTCAAACTTGCTACACAACATAAGAACATGTATATGCATCAGAAAAAATTATAAAATAGAGATTTATCAGTTTTTCATTTTTGGCAAAAAATCAGCTCATGTTTCACTTTTCTTTTTTCGCATAAAATGACTCGTGAACACTGTACAATATAGTATAGGGATTTTTGCCCAATTTTGGAGCTACTTTAAAAATTTGTAAAAAATCCAAATGTGATCAGAATCAGCTCAAATTTTCTACACAACATAAGATTGTGTATATGCATCATAAAAAAATTATTAAAAAGGGGAATTGTCACCTTTTTATTTTTGGCAAAAATTTGCCCAAAGACCCTGTACAGGGACTTTGGCCAGATTTTGAGTAACTTGTGTAAAATCCAATTTTGTTCAGGGTTAGTTTAAACTTGCTACACAACATGAGAACATGGATGTGTATCAGAAAAAATAAGAATGAACAATTCTCCTAGTCATTTTTTGATGAATGTTACTATCATTATTTATTGCAACTGGTTCACTGTATGCTCAGTCAGTTCAGTTTGAGGTTCATAAAGGAATTGAAGGCACTAATGATATACTGTCAGTAGTGGTACCTCAAGAATTAAGAGGAAGGAGTGAAGTAGTTACATTCCTAGCAGACAGACCTATTAAAGGTAATGGTATGTCACATGACTATCACATGATTGTACATGTCATCTATGTGTACATGTTGATGTGGTTTTTGTTCCAGAGGTTGTTTCTCTTAATTCTTTGTTGCCGTCTTCTTTCATTCAGCTTCATAAGCAACAGTTGATGTTAACTCCATGGGAGCAGATACTTAAATCAGCTCAAAATGTGCTCTTCAATGAAGAACTGTTTGCACAGGTATAATACTGTACTATAATAATTAATGTATTTGTATTAATTTAGTTTAGATTGTAAATTTTGTGATGAGGAACTTGTATTATATAATGTGAAACTGCACAAGAGGAAAGATGAGAGAAATTTAACGAGATTACTAAAATCTACAAAGTTTTACTAGGTCGTGACTAGTGGGTGGGTCATTGAACCTTATTGCTATAAAGAAAAACTACTCCAACAAGTCACGTATCTTGTGCAGGTGGGTGTGGTTGTGGGTGGAGTCAAACATGACATACATTGAATGGGTTGATATGGGAGGAGTACCAGCAACACTGGTTAATATTGTGTCAAGATGTCAGCCACTAGCAGTTGCATATTTACGTGATTATATTTAGAAACAACTAGTTTAAATTCAAGCAATCTATTAATAACAATAATAATTAATAGTGACTTAAAGTTAGAAAATGAGAAAGAGGGGAAAAGAGAGAGAGAGAGTGTGTGTGTGTGTGTGTGAGAGAAAATATCATTTCATACCATAAATTGTAAATAGTACATGTATATTTAGTTTATTACAGTTTTATTGAACAACTACTTTAATATTTTGTTATACATTTGTTATCATATTCAGCAACATAAATATATCCATCTCTATCCAGTGCTATACTGAATGGGTTAGCTACTGAGATTAATTTGACTTGTTTCCTGTCAGGACTCAATACATGAAGATAGGAGGTGCCACCATTATAAACTGATACAAAGATATATCCTTCATCATCAATAGCAATGCCATAAGGATAGTTAAAGTTACCAGCTGAATTTTTGTATGTATCAAGATGAGTTTTACCATCAGGAGAGAAGACTTGAACATGATGTTCAGTTGAAATGGTAACGTGTATCTTTCCTTCATTATCAACTGCTACATCAGTTGCATTACCATCACATTGTATGACTTGTACAAATGTACCATCTTCTTTAAACACTTGTACTCTTTTGTTGTTGAAATCTGCTACTAATATATTACCTTTACCATCAGTAGACATACCAAAAGGACGAGAAAACTGTCCATTTCTGTTACCTTTACTACCTAACTGACCAATATACTGACCAGTAGTAGCTAAAAAATACTGCACACGATTAAGATTATCATCAGACACATAGAGCCTGTCTCCTACCAGCAATAAACCCCAAGGACATCCAAACTGTCCATTACCATTACCTTTAGATCCAATCCTTCTTACTGCAGTACCATCCTCACTAAATACTTGAACAAACCCATCCTTACTACCAGCAAATACTGCACCATTAGTATGAACAGCAACACCAGTAGTACCATTCCCAACATTGAAAGATCTCTGGTTAGTTAGTGTGGTATAGTCTCTTGATGCTTTTACTGACAATTGATAAGGACTACCTTTGATATGGTGACCTCTTATAGTCACTGATAGTTCATATTCACCAATACTTTGAGGTGTGCATGATACAATGGCTGTGTTGTTATCATTGACTATAACAACTCTACCCTCCTCTTTATTACCATCACTTTTGATAAAGGAACCCTTCAAATAGCTTGCTGCTTTACCAATGCCTGCTGGTAGAGACACTTTGAATTTCCTTTCTTTCTTTACTGTTCCCAATGGAATAGCTAACCCACTATCAATGGCATTAAGATCTGGATCAGCTTCAAAAACACCACCATATTTACAAATTTCATTGCTCATGGCAGTGATATCAAGGCAAGTTGAAAACACTTCGTTTTCTTCTATTTCTAGAGGTAGTTTCTTATACTCTTCAATGCATTCCTCTAGTTGATTGGTGATTAGCTTCTTAACGCTGAGAACTTCACCTGGATCAGTACGCTCACTCACTAATGATGCAAGATGACGACCATGAGAAACCTGTTTCACCAGTTTACAGAACCCGTCCAACTGCTTCTTGATAGAATTCCTCTTAGCACTAGCGATCTCTTCTGTCTCCATTAGTAGATCATTGCATCTCTTATCTAAAGCAGCTTTAAGCTCTTCAAACGTTTCCTTGATTTCCTGCCTTACTTCTTCTTTACGTGTTGCTATCTGCTCTAGCATCTTTTCTCCATTAGCAATAGCTTCAGTGACTGGAGGAATGACTTCATCACAACTAGCAACACTTTCCCTTAATGCTTTACGTGCTGTTTCTCCTACGTCAATGTAATCTTCTATATTGTGATCCTTGTGTTTGATTGGGAGGCAGTTAGGGCAGACTAATTTCTCGCAATCATTACAATAGTAAATCAGCTTTTGATCTATATGCCGATCACAATACCCCTCTTCATGCTTAATAGTAGGCAATTCGATGGATTCTTTTGTTTCTAAATCAATTAACTTGTGATTGGCTTTTTTCTTGTTTCGCTTGTGACCTTTCTTACAATAATCACACAGAAACTGGCCACAATTACAGCAATACACGACAGCTGCATCACTGGAATCATCACATTCATCACACGATACTGCTTCCTTGCTGACGATCTTCTTTTTGATCAAAGCTTCTTTTGATTTATGTTCAAACCAAAGGTTATGAGTGAGGCCTTCAATTTTACCATCAGGTAAATTAACGCTAGTGTCACACGTTGGACACTTTAATGAGGTATCAGCACTACCTTGCTTCTCTTTAGCTTTTATTAGACACTTCTTACAGAATGAGTGAAGACAGGGAAGCATGAGGGGGTCAGTGTAATACTCTGAACAAACCTCACAAGTCATAGTGATAGCTGGACTTGTGTTTTCTGCCATTTCCTATAAACTTTGAGAAAATAAATCATCACAATACCCGCACTGACTGAAGTATGTTACTTTTAAGAAGTAAAAGCAAGAGAATAGGTGAAAATGAACTGTAACGCTAAACAAAAGACTCGACGAAAGAGAAGAGAGCCTGGACCCCACCTTAAAGTGGGTTGTTTTTTTCTGCCCACAAGTCACGGCCCGGGCCGGATGGCGTCCTGGTTTCAAGGTCTCAGTGGAATCACTCCATACTACAAGAGTCAAGGAGATCAACTATGATGGAGAAGAGATATAAGAAGGGTAACACCGTAACAGTCATTTATTATACACATGTTATAATAATGCACAATGTAATTCATGAAGTAGATCATAGGCGT